TATCAACACACCCATTAACGTAAACTACGCAAGAGCGCGTACACAGACACTGCACCGTCTGTGCATGTTTTTTTTTACTCTCATAGATTTTGTTACCATTGCCATGCATTATACGACTGATAGACTGCAACGGTTGGAGTTAAAAATCATCATATGTGTTCTACTGAAGAAACAAAGTCACCTACATTTTGGATGCCCTGGGGGTAAGCAGATAAACATCAAATTTTAATTTTTGGGTGAACTATCCCTTTAACATGAACTAAGAACACACAATAGCATATCTCTAAATTACCAGTAGAATGTCTTGACAAGATATTTTAATTTGATTTATTCAAAATGCAATTTCATACAAACAATAGCTTGAGTAGATCTTTTCTATGTTTTTTAATTTCTAACATAAAATTCATTGTGGTATACTTTAGGGGTCATAAAGTAAAAAATGTGAACTACCTTTAATGTCAACATATAAGCTTTCTCATGTATGGACATGAAATCTGCCCAACTGTACAAAAGATTATTGAGAGAAAAGAGCTATCAAACAATGTTACAACATGCATCACTGACTAAAATACCACTTCAGGCCTCATACAAGCTGTTACCGTCTCCTTCTATTGGTAGATATGTGTCGCAAACGGCTGAACTGGAATAAGTAAGTTTGTCCTTTGAAGCTGCAGTTAATGTGAAATAAAGGAATCAAGATGAATCATGATCATATCAATGGCCAGCCCTAAAGAGAAACCCTGTTAATTAGCAAGAAGATTAAGCAAGAGAAGATGAGGGAGGAAATGAGATAATACTGCTGGCTGACTCTATGTTTTTTTCTCTAATGGACCCTCTTCTCTTTTCTTCTCCCAGTGTCTCTACATGGTGCATTAAGTCTTGCACCTTTTCACTGGTTGCTCATTCCACCTTTCTTTTCAAATCAAAATGTGTAATGTCACTTGGTGTGAAAACAGATTTTTTCCCCCCTAGCTTAATGTCAGTGGAAGAAAAAAGGTGCTCTTTTCTCTGAACCACATTAAATTGTTGCCTCTGGTTGTTAGCAGGTTCAAACCACACATCACACATACAGCACACAGGGTACTGCTCCTATAAGGCATGTAGGATTTTCGCCTCTTTGTGATTTCTGAAAATGTGACTAATTCCAGGGAGAGCATTGTAGCCTCTTTAGAGATATTTAAAGATATTTAACATTAAACAATACTGGGAGGAGAATAACATTGTTTTTTCAAGACCATGATTCCTCAATCAGAGTTTGAGACTGTTGCTTTGACCTCAGACAAAATAGCACTGTACCATGAAGCAGCAAACATTATAGACACTAGACACCTATATGCACTGAATGTACATTTGAATGGCATAAAAGCAGGTTTTGCTTTAGAAAAGCTCAACTAGACATGCAATATCAACCATGTGAAATATTAGAGTAAATATAAAGAAGAACACAGCTAGAAATGTAATTATAGATTAACTATGGTTAATAGATTAAATATTAAGTTAATAGATAATAAGATAGTAAGATGGTGCCGACGCTGATGGCTGCCTTCGTGGCGTGCTCCACAGTTGTTTTTATGTTTTTGTTAGTTTGTCCTGTCTTTAATTATATCCCTGCAATCAGTTTAACCAGAGAAGAATTGCTGGACATTCGTAAGTACACACCACTCGATATTTCACCGGTTTTTTATTATTCTGATGTTTTGCTGGACAT